TTTGCTCATGACCAATATTTGGGGGGTTGGAAAACCAAATGAATAAATATATACGAGTGTCAGAGAGTGTTGTGAGAATAAGTGGTACATACTGTGTTTGCTGCCTTGAGTAAGGCAAACAAGTTAAAGTTGTACGCTTACAGGGAGTCACAGTATAAGAACTGAAAGAGACCTAAGAGAATATTTGGTCCAACCCTTCCATTTGACAGATGGGAAAACTAAGGCCTACAGTGTTCAACAGCTTACATAAGATCTTAGACCCACTGTAGGGGAATTTACTAACATTGGTTTATTGAATGCTTACTATATACCAAACACTCTCAGACACTGGAGATGTGGAGGTACGTAACACACAGTCCCTGTTCTCAAGAAACTGACAGTCGAGTTGGGGAACCAGACCCTACACTCCTGCCAACAGTGAGTTCTAGATGTGATGAGTGCTAAAGGAGAGGTAACCACACAGAACTATGGGAGGATGTGGAGGCAGTCACTAATTAAACCCAGGGGGAGAAAAAAGGCTACGTATGAAGAATGAGAGGTGTAAACTGAGAGGTTATTTCAGGCAGAGGGACAAGCATGCATGAGCAGAGACTCAGAAGAGATCTCAGAAAACAGCTCCTCACATAAGTTTTGTTTGTTTGTTTTCTTTTGAGACAGGGTCTCTCTCTGTCTTCCAGGCTGGAGTGTAATAGTGTGATCATAGCTCACTGCAGCCTCAACCTCCCTGGCTCAAGTGATCCTCTCACCTCCCTAGTAGCTGGGACTACAGGCATAAGCCACCACAGCTGCCTAGTTTTTAAATTTTTTTGTAGAGATAGGGTCTCACTATGTGTTGAACTCCTGGGTTGGTCTCAAACTCGTGGGCTCCAGCGATCCTCTTGCTTTGGCCTCCCAAAGTGCTGCAATTATAGGCATCTCCTCATGATTTAAAAAATTCTTTATATACTATCCTGGAGAGATGAAAATTCCACTTCTGTTGGATCATTTCCAGTGAGAGGAAAATACTACCTCATGAGACAAAAAAGATTTAGCTCTAACCTTTTCAGCTGGTGTTGCATGGTGTCTAGGGGTTTGTCAGATTCTATCTCTTCATTGTCGCTGAATAACAGGCATAGAAATATTTGATCTTTAACTCCCTCTCAAGGGAATAAGAAAATGTTGTGCGCTGTAGGACCGTTGACTTACAGAATGTTAGAGCTGGGAGGGATGTCAGAGATCATTTAGTCCAGTGGTTTTTGTCTTTCTGTGTGTGACTCATGGATCCCCTTTGGAGAATGTGATTAAAAAAAATCAATAGATCCTTTCCCCCAAAATGCATATGTGCTACTGACACACAAAATGCTGTGTACAATTTCAGGGTATTCATGGATCCCTGAAGCCCATCTTGAATTAAGAAACCTTCTTTCCATTTTACTGATGAAAATCTGAGGCTCAGAGAAGTGCAATGGCATGAAATAGAAGTATGGAAGTAATTCCCTATCGGCCAGATGACTTTGTGAGCAGATGAGCCAGACACACAGGCCAACCATTAATAATCTGGTGATGTTCAGGGGAGCGTCGACTAACTACCAAGTGAAAAGGAGACCTGCAGTAGCAATGGAAGTGTTATGAGCATTTTAAAAAAATATGAAAGTTCATTTACGAAAAAGGATTTAGATTTTTCTCTTTGGCTTCCAGGGGTAGCTTTAAGACCAAAGGGTAGAAAAGAGCTTTTGCTAGACAGAGCCCTCCACTAATGGAATATGCTGTCTTGAGAGGTACAGGATTTCTTGTCACTTGACTTTTTCGAGACACAGAACAACCTCTTGCAGAGGGGACTTAAGCATCACAAGAGTTTGAACTGGGTGACCAAAACTGGACATGATGATGTAACTCTAAGAAACATACTCAATCACATATACTAGCCACGAAGGAGCTCATGTCTCCCAGATAGCATGGTAAGTGAAGAAAGTTCAGGATGGCTAAGACTTCAAGTGGGAGGCTGGTGGTAGTGGAGAGAAATGGGACTTGGAAATTTAAGTGGAAGTGAAATGTTGAAGGATCTTCCAGAGCACCATGGCTGGTATTAAGAACAAGAGGGTTGGGCATGGTGGCTCACACCTGCAATCCCAGTGCTTTGGGAGGCCGAGGTGGGTGGACTGAGTATAGGAGTTTGAGACCAGCCTAGCCAACATGGTAAAACCCTGTCTCTACTAAAATTACAAAAGTTAGCCAATCGTGGTGGCACATGCCTGTGATTCCAGCTACTTGGGAGGCTGAGGCAGGAGAATGGCTCAAACCCGGGAGGTGAAGATTGCAGTGAGCCGAGACCAAGACACTGCATTCTAGCTTGGGCGACAGAGCGAGACTCCGTCTCAAAAAAAGAAAAAAAAAAAAAGAATGAGGGCCTGTGTATAGCGATGGTGGCACAGAAGAATGAAAGCAAAAGGATATCAAAGGAGGAATGCACACAATCAATGGTAGCAGCACTAGCGAGCACATAAAAAGGCCAGAAGAGAGACAGACTGCGGTATGAGCTGTTTCCATCTGCATGTCTGTGTGTTGCAGACTCACACACTGAGTCTGAAGTTACAGTGAAAACAGGACATGCAAATGGAAATGTCCAACGATCTAAAGTGTTGGCAAGTGACAAAAGCATAGCAGAAATGCCCAGGAGGCAACTGAAGATATGAGACTTCCAGGAGGTTAGGATGTGAGAAAGATTAGGGGGCTACCTACAGGAATGAATGAATTTAAAATTTAAGAGTAGATACATTTTCATTGGAAAAAAGTATAACATGAGTAGAAGTCTAAGAAGTTTGCCTTCAGGGCTGGCCGCAGTGTGGAGATGGAATAATTTAAAAGATGTGAGAAGGGAAAGTCAGAGAGTTGCAGGAGATCTGAGATTCAAGTGAAATAAGAACCTGGCAAAAAGCAAGCTTCAAGGAAGAAGGGTGATCAACATAAATATGGTTTTATTTTAGTGTACACTCAACTGTGTGCTTTGGCAGGTAAATTATAGTAATGTTCATTTTGGCAACAACATAGGCAGTGCAGTGTGAATTATGAAGTGCTTTTAAATGGATTACAGATATTCCTTAAATAGCATTTTCCAACATTACCTGTCTTAGTAAATATCACCATAACCTTTTTCTCTCCCAGTTTCTCTTTCAGTAAATTAGAAATCACTTTACTTAAGTTTAATAAGTTCCTTTCACAACCTCATTTTAAGGAAGATGATTTCTGCCATCCTAACGTAATAAACTCGGAAAGGTACACCAAGGTGACATGCTGTGCCTGGACCACCTTAGTCAATAAGGCAGCAGCAGCAAGGGCTGATTTTGCTTCCTGATGTTTGTTTCTTAACACAAGAATTAAAAGCAAAATTAAACACTGGCTTAGATTTTAAGAAATAACTTTTTAGAAATAAAAGAAATCAGTTTCTCTGCATTTAAGTCTATCTCTTGGAGATCTACACCCTCCCTTTAGGGACAAAGTCAGTTGTGTTGCCTTTGTTGAGTCCTACCTTGTAGTCAGGTAGATCTGACTTCACATTCTGAAAATAGATTCTCACACATTAAACTGGAGTTTATGGAAACATCAGTGGAAGGAAATAAAACATTCCATCTGTTTACAAATTATCCTGCAACTCAGGATAATTTGTCACGTGTATTATCTACTTACAGTTGCCACTCACACGCAGAGAACTTTTATAAGAAGGCTGGAAAGAGAGGTGTAGGGAGGCTTTTAGATTGATACTGGATTCTTTGGCAAAAGTGAAGGGGGCTGGTTATTAAGAGTGCAAGATGGTATTTCCTGGGATGCCATCTACTTCAGTAGCTTCAGAGTCACGGAAAATTGTGTGTTTCTGTAAATCTTATCTACTGAAGGCTGACACGATGATTAGCATTTCAGTACATAGTGGTATTTAACTTCTCATTAAAATGACTTATCTTGCCTCTTATTATTACTTTTAATGATTATTTAGTACACTTATGCTTCCCCCTTGTGGGTAAGATATAGAAGGATTTAAGAGTTGGAAGAACTCAAGATTTAGAAACATTTGAGATACAGCCAAGGAGTTATCCTTCAAGAATCTGCCCAGGCCAGACGCAGAGGCTCATGCCTGTAGTCCCAGCACTTTGGGATGCCAAAGTGGGCAAATCACTTGAGGTCAGGAGTTCGAGAGCAGCCTGGCCAACATGGCAAAACCTCATTTCTACTAAAAGTACAAAAATTAGGCTGGGCACATTGGCTCACGCCTGTAATCCCAGTACTTGGGGAGGCTGAGGCAGGCAGATCACCTGATGTCAGGAGTTCGAGACCAACCTGGCCAACATGGTGAAACCCTGTCTATACTAAAAATACAAAAATTAGCCAGGTATGGTGGCAGGCACCTGTAATCCCAGCTTCTCGGGAGGCTGAGGCAGGAGAATCGCTTGAACCTGGGAGTCGTGGGTTGCTTTTTTAGTTGCCATTTTCTCCCTCAGCTCTAGCCAAGCCTTTTGTCTGTATAGTAAGCATTGAATCAATATTTCTTGAGTGAATTATTTAGTACGGATGTATTAAGAAATGAGTGAAGGAGAGTAAGCTATTTATACAAGTTGGTTGCTTTAATCAAATTAAAACCAGACTTAGATTGGTCTAGTGAAAGTAGGCCAGATATTGGCATGTTTCTTTTGGAAGAGAAGAAGGACAAGAAGAGAAGTTATCTCTTTTCAGCTCTTATTCTAGCAGTCCCAACCCCAACTCCCTGCCATGGGTGGGAGTGACAGTGGTTTGTCCCTAGGCTGAAACTAATCTAGAAGAATCACCACCAAAGAGAGGTTAGGCCTTTGTCCTTCACTGCAGCCTTAGGCCCGGAAGACGAAGTGCTGAGAAGGAGAAGGTGACCAGGTTGCAGGGACCAACAGTAATTCAGATTCTCATCTGCTTCCCTCTCCTGGCCACCCCTAGCACCCAGCCCTGCTTCCACCCTGATTCTGGGAGGCAAGAACGCAATCTGCATAGCTCACACTTACTTGGCAGCGGCATCTTTTCTCAACTGTTCATGCTTCATGAGGAGATTTTTCCGGTCTCGGAAGGCTTTTCTGACCTTGTACCCTTTGTAGACGGCTTGGATTTTGAAGGCGGCGATGTCCTGTATGGCTGCAATGGACAGGGCACCGTGCTCCAACATGTATTGGATCACTTCATGACGCTCACCAAGCAAAGCATAGTCAAGGGGTGTGTATCTGAAATGGGAGGAAGATTTCCTTTTTTTAAATTTCATAATGTAATTCAAGGCACAGTTAAACTGAATATATTATGCAACAGAAGGAAACTTCATTCTAACATGTGGAATATTCCCCAAGCAAAGCCACATTCTCTATACCAGGGCTGTTTTTTTTTCTCCAAGGGGCACAAAACAGGGTTGACTATGACTGTGAGTCAGGTGCTTTGGGCTGCTAACCATGCCAGTTCCCAAGTTTTACTCCCTGGCACACAAGGAGGGGCCTATTGGAAACACTTGATCTCTTCTCTTCTTCCCCATGTGCCAAATAATTCCCTGTCCCTATCTAAAAAGGTAGTGAAAATAATAATTGTGAGATTCATAAATTTGAGCCCATGATTACTGATAGTTAATTAGAGTTCCAAATGGAAATTTAGTATATGATAAGAATGGCCCTTTAAGTCTCTGCAGAAAAGATAGATTACTAAATAGTGATGGACAATCAGGTAGCCATGTGGTGAAAAAAAGGAGATTCTTATACCACATTTTATACCAAAATAAATTCTGGATAGAGCAAGGATCTAAATATTTAAAACAGGAACCATAAAAGTACCAGAAGAAACCATGAAGATTAAAAAAATGATATAGGAAGTATTTTCTACAAAAAAGGATACAAAATTCAGAAACCATAAAACGGCTGGGCACAGTGGCTACCAAGGGCTGGGTGTGGTGACTCACACCTATAATCCCAGCACTTTGGGAGGCCGAGGCAGCTGGATCACTTGAGGTCAGGTGTTCGAGACAGCCTGGCCAACATGGTAAAACCTCAATTCTATGAAAAATACAAAAATTAACCAGGCGTGGTGGTGCACACTTATAGTCCCAGCTACTCAGGAGGCTGAGGCAGGAGAACTGCTTGAACCTGGGAGGTGGAGGTTGCAGTGAGCCGAGATCACACCACTGCACTCCAGCCTGGGTGACAGAGTGAGATGCCGTCTCTAAAAAAAAAAAAAAATTCAGAAACCGTAAAAGAAGACTGACAAATCTGACAACATAAAAATAACACATTTTACATGGTAAAGAAAACATCAAAGACAATGATAATAGTTCCCCCAAGAGTAAATACGAATGCCTCTTAACACATAAAAATAACTTCAAACTCACTCATTTAAGAGAAATATGAATTAAGACTAACACGAGAGAGTACCTTTCACTGATAATCAGATTAGCAAAAATCAGCAAGGTTACTAACACACTGCACTGGCAAGGACAGAGGGAGACAGGCTCTCTCACATACTACTTCAACTTCTAGGGAAGACAATTTGGCAATGTTAATCAAAATTATTCATGTATATGCCATTTGACATAGCCGTTTCACTCTTAGGAATTTATCCTACAGATCTGCTCTCATGTGAAATGCTTTATGTACTAGGTTACTCATGGAAGTACAGTTAGTTATAGTAAAAGAATAGAAACAACCTCAATATCTATCAACAGAGGACTGCTTAAACAATGCACAGCCTATCCATATAATGAAGACATCTGTATATGCAGTCATTACTGCTGTCTATGAATAAATAAGGAACAACCTCCAGGACGCCTCGTTAAATGAAGACAAAGAAAAAGGCAAGAAACAGGAGTTATTATGGCATGTTCCATCTGTATGAAAAAAAATTCCTGTATGCTTATCTATGAAAAATACACTTCCAGAAGCTTTCCAAGAAACTGCTAACAGTGATGCCTCTGGGGAGAAAACTAGCTGTCTCAGAGGCAGGGGCAGGAGGAACATTGAGTCTTCAGTGAACGTCCTTTTAAATTTTGTGCAGTGTACATACATCATTGTTTTGATAAATACATGATTTATAAAGGATGAATATTATTGCCATGTTGTTGTATATTTGAATCTCAAATGGCAACTTTCTAGGTGTGCTGTTTTCAGCACATTCTTTTTTTTTTTTGAGACAGGGTCTCACTCTGTTGCCTAGGCTGGAGTGCAGTAGCACGAACACAGCTTACTGCAGCCTTGACCCCTCCTGGACTCAAGCAATCCTTCCACCTCAGAACCCCAAGTAGCTGGGACTACTGGCATGCACCACCAAGTCTGGCGTGTGTGTGTGTGTGTGTGTGTGTGTGTGTGTGTGTGTGTGTGTGTGTGTGTTTTGAGATGGAGTTTTGCTCTTATTGCCCAGGCTGGAGTGCAATGGCGCCATCTCAGCTCACCGCAACCTCCACCTCCTGGGGTCAAGCAATTCTCCTGTCTCAGCCTCCTGAGTAGCTGAGATTCCAGGTGCATGCCACCATGCCCAGCCAATTTTTTGTATTTTTAGTAGAGACGGGGTTTCATCATATTGGTTAGGCTGGTCTAGAACTCCTGACCTTGTGATCTGCCTGCCTTAGCCTCGCAAAGTACTGGGATAACAGGCGTGAGCCACCTCACCCAGCCAATTTTTGTATTTTTTATAGAGATGGGATTTTGCCATATTGTCCAGGCTGGTCTTGAACTCCTGAGCTCAGGCAATCCTTCTGCCTTGGACTATCAAAGTGTTGAAATTACAGGCATGAGCCACTGCACCCAGCCCATTCTTCTTAAAAAACATTTCTTTTTAAATTTTGGAAACATAAAAAATTGGTTAAATATGTAGAAGAAAATAGCTATCATCCGTATTCCCACCCTGAGAATTAACCACTGTTCATATCTTGGGAGATATGATTTCATTTTTTAAAGAAAAATTACTTTGTCAAAATGATATAGTTTTTTGTTTTTTTTTTTGAGATGGAGTCTTGCTCTGTTGCCCAGGCTGGAGTGCAATGGCATGATCTCAGCTCACTGCAACCTCTGCCTCCTGGATTCAAGCAATTCTTCTGTCTCAGCCTCCTGAGTAGCTGAGATAGATTACAGGTGCATGCCACCATGCCTGGCTAATTTTTGTATTTTTGGTAGAGATAGGATTTCACCATGTCGGCCAGGATGGTCTCGATCTCCTGACCTGGTAATCTGTCTGCCTTGGCCTCCCAAAGTGCTGGAATTACAGGCATGAGCCACTGCACCCAGCTGTAAAATTATATAGATTTTAAGAACTCAAACACTGAAAAAAAAATACAAACATTGAAGTAAAAAAAATCCCCCAAATTCTACCATCCTACAATGGCAATGATGATTGTCACTTTTTGAACAATTTACTTTCCATCTCTAAGTCTTAGTTTTCCTTATCTGTTAAACAATGTAATACTTTGCAGACTTGGTAGGAGAAAATGGAATAATAAGTGTGAAGAGGTTAGCGATGTTCCTGGCCCAAAGGAAGCAGTTAATAAATGTCATCTCTGATTGTTATTATTACAGGAAATTTACTGCTGTATGGTTTGCAATACCACAGCTGCTTATCAAAAAATATTATCTCCATAGGACCCAAACTAGTATCTATGACCATCCTATGACCACCACTGATGCTGATTCCTCTCAGGACGACTTTGACCAGACTAGTGCCATCAGAGGTCTTAGGAGAAAACATCAGATGATTTATGAGGCAGAAAAGAGGATGATTATATAGATGCATGATTAGACACAGAAAATCATCCAATTATAGAAAAGAAATGATCTCTCTTCAAAACTTACCTAACCAGTCACAGTTAAGACATAAAAGGAAGAGGTTTTCACTTTAAGAGCGTTTTGATCACTTTAGTAAGGAAACTGAGTTTGGGAGGAAACTCCAAACATTGAAATTACGGAACCTCCATTTTAGGATAGCTTCATTCATCACTTACTGTTCAGGGACCAGAAGGCTGTAAGTAGAGGCATCTATATAAACTTTAGAACATTATTTATAAGTAGATAGCAGTTTTTAAATTCAGGACAATTTTTAAAAAATTGTTGCTACATGTTCTGAAATGCCTTTCATGACCGTACTTTCTCTAATGGAAAAAATTATCATGGAGTCATTAAATCATGTAATACTAGAGCTAAATTAAATTCTAGAGGTCATTTAGTTCAATACCTTCATTTTATAAATGGATGAACAGATCCAGAAAGGTTAAGCAACTTACCAAAGGTTATATAAACTGTTTCTACAGAATGCAGACTAGAACTAAGATAACATGTTTCCCAGTTCAGTAATCCTTCCACAACACATGTATCAATTACTTAGTATGTTACCTATAGAATAAAATGATTTTTTAAATCAATGTGCAAACAACATATGTATTTGGTAAGTCTGACTATTTTTTCTATAATTATTGATATTTAGTATCCTTTACATAATATATAAGCATGGGTTAACAAATTTGGTTTATAAAATGTAGGGCCAAAATTATTCCTTTACCTACAAATATTACAAAAGGAAATAACATGTAGCTTAATATATCCTAAAGAATGCTGATCTGGGAGTCAGGGGACCTGTGTGACCCTGGGCATTCTCTTAACTTCTCTGGGGGGAAAGGAAGAAGGGAAGAACTAGACCTCTCAGGCTGCTTCTGGATTGAAAATTATATCTTAAAAAATTTTCCTGTAAAAACATTATATTTTCTTATGAAAAGTTTTAAGCATAAAAAATGTAGAGAGAATAACATAATAAAGCTTTACATACTCACTACCTAAATTTAACAATTTTTTGCTACATTTGCGTCATCTAGCCCCTTCCTTTTTATTTTTGTTGGAGTATTTTACAGCTAATCTTGGAACTCCTATCATTTTGTCAGAGGTGTTGGAACCAGAGGACTCACTCCATCTTGGGTGAGGGCTAGGAAAATGAGGCTGGCACTTGCTGGGCTACATTCCCAGAAAGCTATTCCTAGCCTCTAGATATTGAAGGGAACAGATAGAGAATGTTTACTAAACAGATCCAGACTTGGGAGTGTCTTAATATCCTGATATCTTGAGAACAAAGGCATTCCTAATTTTGCTTTAAATATTGTTTCTTGGGCCGGGCGCGGTGGCTCAAGCCTATAATCCCAGCACTGTGGGAGGCCGAGGCGGGTGGATCACGAGGTCAAGAGATCGAGACCATCCTGGTCAACATGGTGAAACCC